TAGATAAAATTCGAATACCTATGTAATACTTTACGTGCCAAAAAATCAAACCAATAATGTTGTACATAAGAAAGTGTTTAATAACATATAAATTTTATTTTCATCATATTTTTAATGTTATAAGACAATTTAAATACAAAAATACCTTTTAAAAAACAAATAGATAATAAATGCTCCCGTACATCGCACGGGTACCATACTAGTTACGAATAATATGACCCGATTTGGAAATGTGGGCAGGAAACCTATTTTGATCCTAAATATGAGTCGATGTTGATGAAGCAAAAATGAGCCATCACATGTATAGTAAAGTACTGTATGTAACAAAGTATAGAGTACGAATATTATGCCTCTATAAATAGAAGCAAATTAAGGCCATATATAGGATTTTAAAAACAGAAAAAACTCTACAAAGCAAAAGGTCACATTGTTCTTTCAAAATTGGTAATCCAAACTTAATTTTTAATTATCATATTTGTACTTTTTATATTTGAACAATTATTTATTATGTTTGGTAAAAATCCACCGTCAGCAACATACTTTATTGTTTAATTAATGCTACAGTTCCCGATCTCATTACAACTGAAAATAAAAGGTCAGTTTAAATTAACCATCTAAAAACTTCTCAACCGTAATCATTTTAGTAATCTCCAACTACCAACCAATAGGTGAAGCAAAGTCTTGTTACGAATTCAACCTGGTAATTAACGGTCGACGAATTATTTATTTAGTTAGGTTTGTTTTGTTCATAATTATCATTATATCTTGGTTAAGGGAATAAAATAATAATAACAATAGTTAATTAACGAAAATATTAATAAATTATTAATCAGCAAAAGGATCCAAATCTTTGCCCCCCAAAANNNNTAAAAAAAATTGTAAGGTGAGAGGCTCATAATCTTTTGGCAATCAGCCAACAGATCATAAAAGACCGTCTCATCTACTTGCCTTAAAAACTCTAGTTTTTAACAAGAAGATATCACTTTTATATTGCATAATGGGGACATGAAAAGTTGAATTAGCTGCTCAATCTGATTTTGGTGCATCTATGAATACCTTCTTTTCACCATTAATTTGACCCTTAGACAAATATTTTTAGGAAAATTCTACATTGCCAACATAGTGTACAACTAGGTTGACAATACAAGTGGAAACCTTTACTTGTGTATTTTATTATTTTAATTTTTTTAAATATTTTCAATTGTGTTGTCAACCTAGTTGTACACTAGATTGACAATGTATCATTTTCCATATTTTTATTTACCATTACTTTATTTATTAATATGCTTGGTGGGCTTTTATATTTTCATTATTCATCGATATAGCCAATTAGATTGCTCAGGTAGGAGTTCCTTCTATAAAATCGAATTAGGTTTTAGCTTGAAAAATACATATTCAGGCTATCTTCAACCTTTATCTCTGCTCTAGAGAGCGTGGACTTTCTCTGAGTAGAATTAAATATTCATCTTCAGCCCTTATCTCTACATTTTACTCTACATCAAATATATTATTTTTTTATTAATTTTTTATTTCCAATAAATTGTTATATATATGTATATTTATATATGTATATTTCAGATAAATTGGTATATATATGTATACAGTACCATTTTAACATTAAAAAAATACAAAATGAAATTATAATACATCAATAAATAAAAAGTACAAAATTATTTGGCATATACATTCACTATTGCACATTATACAAAAATTTATCATTAATATTACATTCAAAATACATAAAAAGAAAAAGAAAAAAAAGATAAAATGTAGGGCAGGTGCCACAGTGTTGCGTCAAATGTGGCGCAACACTATTCATCTCTCCCATCCAGCGCAGATATCTGACGCAACGTTGGAGGGCTGTTCTGCACTATTTTAGTGCAAAAATACATATGTAGCGCAGGGGTGCGGATGGTCTTTAAGTCAATTTGAAATCGCTCTTCAGGTTTACACTGGATAATTTATTCATGAAAGTCCGAATTCTATAAGAAAAGGAGATCTATAAGTAGAATAAAAGTAGATCTTGTATGTCTTTTAGAGTTTTTCCTAGATTTGACGGGGTTATATTCAAAAGCTTGTAGGAGAGGCAATTTATTTCTGTATATAAATATAGGATATGAAAATCCTTATAATAATTATAATTAAAAAAATATAAAAAAAGTGTCCTTTTTCTTTCAATCTCTATCATATTATATTGGTATTCTTTTGTACCTCATTTACCTTTTAATTAAAACGTCAAATTATCATTATCAATACTACTATTTCGTAAGAACTTTCTAATAGTTATTTAATTTTTTGAGAAACTCGAACTTGCCGACTTGTCCTAGTATAATGATTTGAGGTATTATTAGAAGCTTGCATTGCTTAAAAGGGAAGGTCTATATAGTCAATGTTTATGATTGAATATCACTTAGCGCACATGATTAATGTAATACATCTACAAAATACCCAGAGATAAATACGAAGACAAAATTATTGACTAGATATAAGTGTCACTGTAATCCAGGGACGAGTGATTTACCTTTTCCAGATTTTTGCAATTGAGCTTCTTTTTTTATTTATTATTATTATTAAAATATTGAACTTTAAAACTTACAAATTCTTTCAAATGACATGAAACTTTGCCAGGTTCTAATAATTAAATTATAGAATTCATTATTGTGACCTTTTGTTGATAAGTTGACCAAATCGCGAGATCATGCATTTGGTAAGCAACTTAAACTTAAACTTATAATTTTTATATTTAAATATATTTAGTTTGATCGATTGATTTTTGTTAAAGAAATTAATAATTAAGTTTATCTTATGAGTTTTTTCTATATTGTTCAAGAAGTTATGGAATTTTTTATTTTGATACAATTTTACCAAATATTCGTATTATATCAACTAGTACGTGGCATGTGCGATGCACGTGAAAAAAATATTACAATTGTATTATAAATTAAATATATAAATAATGTTAGTCATGATTTACCCATTATTTTTAAAAGCCGAAATCGGACTGTCCCTGATGTACCAAGAATCGATTTATCGACCAATCTAGTTCACTTTAATAAAATGTTTAGTAGTGAACCGGTCAACACCTGACACTCGGATTGGTAGTATTAGTGTGATTTTTAAAATAATTTTTGTTACATTATTTTAATATAAATAAAAGTACATACGAAGATCTATAAATTATTTATCAGTTAGTTTAAACTTTGAAAATTTTAAATTATTAAGATATTTAATTAATATTTTTATATAAATTTATTACAAAAAGTACTATATATATTAAAATATTACTAAATTAAATTCTGGTGCATCCAATAAATCATTGAATAAATAACTTGATCGATTTAAAAACGGTACTCTTATGAGAACCTTGGATTTACCGTACATTAATAAGTTGCCATGCAATATCATTTTGTTCACATAAATATTAATAAAATAATATATAAATGTTTGTAAATCTTTGAACATGTTGTCACAAAAGCATTTAATATGATTATTTGGAGTATAAACTACATTACATTTATTATAATAAAGTACTTTTAATATTAAATATTTTATTTAGATTAATAATCGATTTGGTCTGGCTAAATTGTCTCATAACTTGGTCGTTCGGGATTAACCTCAGATGTGTCATGTTTTTGAACTATTTTAAATATCAAATAAAAGTAATCCAATCAACCTGAACATTAACCTAATCCAATCACCCGATTGATACAATGAAATTTCTTTATTTTCCTTAAATATATTTAACTTTATGAAATAAATAATATTTTATGAAAATATTTATAACAAATACCAATATATTAATATTATAAATTATATATCTAACTATAAGTTAAATTTGATCTTAAAGATTCACATGTGTTTTTCAAAATTACCACTAATAGTAAGTCAAAATCTTTATTTATTTTTTTTTGTCAAACTTACTATAAAGGTATTTTTCCAACAATCTTTTTATATTAGTATAGATAGATTAGTTTTAAATTATTATAATCTATTAATTATAAATTAGAAATTTATTTATTAGCCGTTAGTTAGCTTGTTAGCTAACTATATATACCCAACACCATCTAAAGTTGGTAGTTAAAATAAAAAAATTAAGGAAAAGAAAAAAANTTGATTTTAAGTAATGTTGTCATATGCATTTATCCCTTTTCTCCTTACTCAGCTAAATTATACCAACTACACATTCATGTCCCATTAAACCCCATTAAGCCACGCGTGCAAGGTTCCACAGGAGCTATGTGTAACCTGAAATGAAATGAAATGAAGACAAATTTGCAGACAAATGCTCTGAACAGATTAATTTATTTTCAAAATTTGCGTCTGCAATTAAGTAAATGATCCATCTTTGAAAAACTAAAGTGTGGTCTATTGACTATTGCACAAAACATTTTAATTACTAAATAAAAGAGTTCCATTTCAAAATCAATAATTTTAATGGTTAGATTTTGTCCTTAAGTTGGCTTAACATGCATTAGGCCGACATATTTTTTTAAATAAATATGCATAATTTATTAAAAAATAACCAAAAACTGAAATATGACATTTTATAGTATAAGTGATTGTATTTTCATTCTAATAGTATAATGGATCTACACTTAATTGTTAGCTACCGTACACAAAAACTTGTATTTTATATATATTAAGATTTTTTAATTATTTAGTAAAAAGACTTAAAAGGAAGAGTACATGTTAGGTAGCCACTAAAGAACACCTTTTATTGATATACCAAAAAAACTGAAAGAAAAAATATAAAATAAATATATAAAAAATAAAAACAGAGAGAGAGAAAAATAAATAAATAAAAAGAAAAAATTGAGAACTTGAATCTTATACTAGCTATGAAAAACTCCCAAATCTTAAATCGTTTATTGTAGGGATTAATTTCCGGTTAATTCACCTATCAATTCACCGACCAACACGAATAATTATAGCAATTTATACTAATATTAGTATTATTAATAGTAGTAATAATACTTGACACCATAGTCTGAATTATTACATCATGATGACGAAGACGACCCGCGGCCGCCACTAAAATGCGTTCCATTCACACTCTCGTTCTGAATACCACCGCCGGCGCCGACATTCTCGAAGCTGATTAATCCGCCATTGTTTCCGGCCTCTTTCTTCACGAACGTGTTCTTGTTATTGTGCATCCACACCTTGAGCACCCCTTTAGTGACCCCAACCTCCCGGCAGAACTCCCTCACCGCCGCATCGTCGGATTTCTGCATCCGCCACCCCATCGCTGCCGCGAACCGATGCATCTTCTCCTTCTGCTCCTGGCTGAACCTCGTCCGGAACCGCTTACGGCAGGCCGGGTTTTCCGCCGTCGGAGTCACCGGCGCCGGCTGGCTCTCCTCCCCGAGGAACGACCGCGCCGCCGTCGTCGGCGGGGAGAGGGAAAACCTCTTGGGCGGCGGCGGGCGGCGGAAGTCGAGGAACGGCGGCGTGATGGCGGGGGGAGACCCTCGGCGGTGGAAACTCCGGTGGCAGCCGCAGGCGGCGCACCGCAGGTCGCCGGCGGCGGAGGAGGGAGGCGGCATGAACTCGCCGCAGCCGTCCACGGCGTGGCCGCCGATGGCGGCCGCGTGGTTCCTCATGCACTCCTTGTACAACGCCGGCGGCGCGTGGTGGCGGCGCTTGAGTGACGCTCCGCCGTGTGGCGGGGTTTCGATCTCCGTGTCATCTGGGCTCTTTGGAGATGATTCTAAATCCATGAGATTTTGGATTTATTTTTTTTTTCTCGCAAATGGTGAATTAGTGGAATTTGAAGCTTGAGGGGGGCTTTTATGCAAAATAAAAAAAATATTAAATTGGAAAAATTTATTGAAGGATCTTTTGGTATTATGATGGCTGTAACAAGTGGACAAAATAAGTTAATGTTTTTCCAATAATGTCAACCACTTGTTGTTGTATAATAATAATAAAAAGGAGATTTAAAATGAAAACAACAATGTTTCCGTTATTTTTTTTTTTTGAGACGGCAAATGTTAGTTGTGGTGAAATTAAATTAAAATGTTGGGCTTATCACTTATATATATAATTACCTCTTGTTGGAGTTTAACCATGAAATTTGATTGGACATGTGGCGGACGCGGAGTGTGAATAAGCCGATTTGGCCCCCACCAAATGCGATACGTTTTATGACTTTATCCCATGCGTGTGGTGGTATTTTTTCGGGTTTCGGGCATTGACCTTATTGAGTAAGATTGATTTATTTATTTTTTTTATATGCTCGAACTTAGCTCGAGAACGATTGAAATCAAAATGCTCGCGATTATTACTCGAATTCAACTTAAATTTCAAGTAAACTTACTATTAAGTACTTATATATATAAAATATTGTAATATTTACATATAAGAATATTTTAGTAATTCACTATATATATCGAGCCGCAACAAATAAACTTGGGTCGTGTTCGATTATGTATTTTACATTGTTCGTATTCGTTTGTTTATAGTTAAAAAACTATGTTCGACTTTGTTTTTTTAATCGTTAATAATAGTTCGAGTATCGTGTACAAATATTTTAGTAAAATGCTTACCATAATTGTTTGATTAATTCTAGTTTATTTTATTCGAATCGTTCTAGTTTGAATATTAAAAGTTTATATAATTTATACTTCATGTTTTTCTTAAAAAAATATGTAAAAATAAAAAACAAGTCATTTATATATTAAAATAATTTTTGAAAATTACGAAACATCGTGAACAAGTTTGTGTTTTTTTAATTAACAAATGAGTCTAGTTTTTTGTTTCACCTCAATTTCGTTGATAAATTAACAAGCTTTGTTTGAATCCAAACGAGTTTTTGTTCAAGAACGTTCGGTGCATTTACTGCTCTAATCCAATCTAATTGCACCAACCTAAATTATGAACAACTAGGACTGTAGATACTCTTCGAGCTCGTTTACCAATTTTAACGAGTAGAGCTCGAGCCTCAACAAATTGAATTATAGAAAACTACATAAAAATTCTTATTTTTGAGGCGCAAACAAGCTCAAACTCGAACCTTAACGAGTCAAGACGAATTGAACTCATGAACTGTTCATTTCTTTTAACAACTCTACGAACAATCATGCGATCGAAGCTTGGTAAAAGTTCGAGGAAATCAAATCATGTGACACGATAAAATTCACCAATGGTAATCATGATTAGTTGAAATTAATAAAATTTGTTGGATGCATAATCATATTTGTTGATTAATCCAATTGGCTCTCCAAGGCTGATTTTTTCAACTAAGACAATTATTAGGCCGTCTCAATCCAAAAATATCTGAAGTGGAAGCGTGATTTATTTAGTGATTATCTTGGAACCCAGCATATTCTTATCTTCACACTAATATAAAAGATCAACATTACAATATCTAAGAAAATATAGATACAATAAACTATAACATCAGGCCATACAATAATAGAAAAAAAGCGTACAATATTATAATATATCAATTATCAAATAGGGAAACCTAATCATTTTTCCATTTCTGGAAGGCAACAGATCTGCTCGAAATATTTAATTATTTTTTTGCATGATTATAAAGGTGTAATTAAATGAATTAATAAAATAACCAAATATTGCTAAGCACGCGGCAGCTAGGGAGTAGTTAATTTTGTTTTTAAGAATTGAATAAATCATTTTGTTGACCGGACACGTAATGCGTTTAATAGCCATTGCTTAATCCTTAATTATATAGTTAAAAATGCTAAAAACTTGACTCTAAATCTAAGTTTTTGTGTTTCATATATTAAGTGGATTGCTAGGTGTCAACGGTAGATGCAGAATTTCAGTATACTATTGGAATAATTAAAAGAAAAGAAAAAATGATTGTTTAGATTATCTGAAATGTGATTATTGATTAAAAGTAGAAACCTTATCCTGATCTTCCTTTTTATATATAAGTATCTGTTAGAGAGAAGGATAAGTCAAATAAGAGGCTTTTGTTGGAAACTTGGAACTTAGAATCGTCTTCGAAAATTATAATCAATGAACATATATATTTTGTTATTAATTATTTGATATTGATTCAATATTTGTTTGATTCATATTATTCAATCATAAATAGATATTGATTCATATTTGTTTGAGTAAAACATTCACAACAAAAATAAATTCACGAGAGATTATTTGTAATCGATTTGATTTCGTTACTTAAATTATTAATAAATTCCTACATTAATTTTCATTTTTATATTTTGCAAATGAAACTTAAGAAAATATGACATATATTATACTTATCATTAATAAAATCATTTATGGGTATAAATACATACTAATAAAATAAAGTTCTATATAACAAAATATGAGACATAAAAAAAAAATTATATATACAAATAAATAAAAATTATATTCGCATATTATATAATAAATATGTATACTAGTTGTATCGAATATTTTACAAATATGAAATGGATAGTTGCATATTTAATGCCACATTACAGGAATATAAATCTTATTCAATTATTTTTCCATTTCAATAATTAAAACCATAAAATATGTGATGCCAATAATTGGTCACATACACTTGTGAGTGCGAGATGCATCAGACCGGAAAACGGACGAACCATATAATGTCATTCATGACTGAGGTGTATTATTATTTTTTGTTTTATTTTTTATTTAAATCACATAAAATTAAAGGGCAAAAAACATACTCCATATAATTTTTTTTTCCCCCTTCAATGGCTTCAATGTATGCCGAACAAATTTCAAATTTAGTAATGTGGCTTTCCGGCAAGTACGGATGTGCACTTTTGCAAGTGGAAAATTATGTTTGAAAATTGAAAACGAAGACATGTTTTTATTGGAATTAAAACCAAATAGTGTTCACCACCAATTCAATGCAAAACTAAATGAAATTGAAAAAAATGAAAAATCTAAGAAATGTTTCAAACCGCATTGCAAGATATAAAAAGTCCAACCGAAATTNCTTTAAATCCAAAAGCACAAAATTAATCAAACTGTACCACATCGAATTACATAGTTCGACGCATATTTTTTATTTTTCAATGAAACACTCAAAAAATTCAGATTACAATCATCATAAATAACATTAGAAACTGTACATAACATGGAACAGTTGAAATGACAGTAAGCAAAGACTATGGAAGGTCTATGTTTTAGGAGTTCATAGTTGTAATCAGTGGATTAGGACAATGTCATTCCATTAAGTCATAATCATAAAGCACGCGCAAGTTTGCAAATACCCACTCGAATATAATGCAATTCACACGGAGGATTTTGAAAACTAGATCTTTTCTAACACTAAATCTTCAAAATTAAATTAAATTAGCCTTTTGTTTTTACATTGAAGGAAGATACTTTGCAATTTGCATAATAATTAATTATAGTGTAGTAGTATCATTTTATTCCGAACATACACATATGTATGACAGTAATGAGAAATTCCTCGACCAGAGATTTTGAAATTTGTGAAATTGGGGGTGTAAATTTTAATTATTATCAATTAAAGGTTTCAATTTTAAGTTATTATTTATTATTTTTTTTTATTACAATACAAAAAGAATTATATTTTGGTTCACATCGTTATATCAAAAAATAGAGTACGTTAAAACCTTACATTGAAAACTAAAAATATAAAAGTGAGTTTTAAATAAATTAAAAATAACTGAAAATTAAAATCTTCAATTGTGGAAAACTAAAAGTTGAACCCTAATTCGACATAATTAAAAAAAAAATAAAAAAATCTGAGCCTTGTTATGGAATTTTTTTCATGACAATAATTAGTGCAACGCAATATTTGAACC